CATATTTGTCATTTCTACAACATATTTGGCTCTTTCATGTGTTTTTCGTTTTGACAGCCTTTTTTTTCCGTTTCTTCCATCATTCTTGCACCAGTACGACCTCTGCTTGTTTATAGGATTTTTAGATAAGTTGTGCGTTTTTGATTTAAAGAAAATTTTAAGAAAAAACTGTAACATTATTTCGTTACCTGGTATTATAGGGTTCTTTTTTGAACGAAAATATGGAACGCATGATGTACACGGTATCGAAGATGATGCTGACGAATTGATGTGGCGAAATGTTAGCATTAAGGGAGCCTATGTAAGTTCCCCGTTTTGAATGATTTTTTTGCTCCATAAGATTTTGTTTTCTCAATATCACTAAAATTTTCTCAATATCTGGTCCGTGAAAAAGGCAAGATTCGGAGCAAAGTGGCGACTCCTAATAAATACCAAGAATCTTCCAAAATCGTAAAATCCTTTCGAAAAAACCGGCTGAGCTGGTAATCCCTTCAGGAGACAAAACGACAGCAATTTGACTGTCAACGATCAAAATAAAACTGTTAAAGCTATGTTGAAGTGTGTCCCACTTTTTATCTAGTGTGTCTAAGCATTTTGCAGCATAATGTATAAATTTTTGATGGAAAATTTTCAGTATCGTTTTGTAGATACGGCCACAAATGACCGATGCTTCGGCGCGGATAGTGCGAACAAATCAGATTGTTGTTGCTGCTGGTGCATGGTCTGGCCGAATTGCTGAAATGGCAAGAGTCGGTGAGCCGGTTTTTTTAAAAATTACTGAATCAAAGCACAACACATTGTCGAGTTACTGCTATCTGCAGTTCTTGCTTCGAACTCCTGACTAGTACCCTTGTTCTCCTTCTCTTATACTATTTCCAGCTCGTACCCCTTGAGCTGTATTTGGGCACCTACCAAGCAATACCCTCCAACCACGTCCATCTCCCCTATCTGCTCCCCCCCACCCGCTTGCTTGTTTGCCTCTTCCCATTCTTCACTTGTTTTTTTGGTTTATCTAATGACGATTGCGTGTTCATCCCAATGAATTAGTTAAATTCGGCTCCTCAGCTCTATAAGTCCTATTAGCAGTAAGCTGAATTTAAATAAGAAATTCTGGTCCTCTCGGCCTTCAGCTGTTGTGCAGCGCTTAATTCGTAAGTTAATTTTCAGCAGTGTAGTTGTTAACAGCTTTTCCGGACCGATTGTCCCTCTGCTGCATCTTTTGGCAACCAGCCAGCTTGCGCTGTTGTATCGATTTTCCAAAATTCCCTCATTTTTTTTTTTCAAGATGAAGTAGATTAAACGATTTGGCACATGACCAATTTAAGTCCGGTCCATCGTAAGCAAGTTTTTTCTTTTTGCAAAAATTTCGCATTTTCAGGGAAGGGACGTGATTTGTTAGCAGTTGAGCTGCCCGTCCGTGCACGAAAACGCATGGTATTCGTTGTGCATGCCCCAGATGTTCCAGCTTTAGATATGCCTGCACTTTTTGATCCATCCGGTGTTTATTGTTTGATGGAAGAAGTTGGCAATACATTCATTTGTGGAAAAATCCCAAGCAAGGTAGAAATGTAATTGGGATTTTTGTTGAAAATATCAAGAATCAAGGGCAAGAGGGAATAACTTCCCGAATTTTTCCCCATTTCTGGCTCTCTTGATACATACTGCGTTTTCTGTGCAATATGTTTGTTCAGTTTAAATTGCCTGTTGGGCCCCGCAGGGAAATATAATTTATACTAAAGAATGTAAAGGAAGGGGTAATCTTAAAAGTCATACCCAAAAAGGGCAAACTCTTAAGTATAAAAAACAAATTTGAA